TGCCGAAAGACACAGAGCTTTTAGACTGGGGAAATGGAATACAAAATAATCTAATTCAAGCCTAAGCACTTTATAGTTTCCAGATTACAACGTATTTTGGTTTAAGCTGCCTCAGCTAATTGAATAGAATTATAGAATGAGGTAGGAGCATAAGTAAATTATTAAAATACACTGATGTTTTTCAGATGTACAATGGATGGCAGGATGGTATCTTAGGAGAAAGCAATCATATTAAAGGGTCAGCCTTTAAATTTAGCTTTCAAGTTTTCTTCACATATTTATCAGTTTTTGAGATAGAAATTCCTGTATTACTCAAGAGCTTTAAAAATTAGAAAATATCGACTATAGTACGTTTTGCAGGGAACTGTAAATTCAATCAAACAACAAACATTTATAGTATATCTTACTATGTGCATATCTTTTAGAGAATTCAAAAAGTACAAGGTATGGTCTTTGCATTTAAGGGTTAAAACTAAGTCAGGAAGTAAAACTAGTATTTGTAAAGTAAGTGGGCAGCAATTAAGTGCTAAACCATGTGACACAGTCCAGAAGTTTGAGAACAATTCTGAAAAGAGCTAAGTGTAGGATGCAATTGCCTTTTTGAAAAGGATTCTTAGAGCAGAAGACATTTAAAATGAATTCTAAATAGACAAAATAATATCGATTTTGAAGAAAAGTTTACATAAGAACTTTTAGTAAGTTTTAGCATGGGAGTGACAAAGAATAAAATTGCTCTATTACAATTTATAAGACTATTCTGATTAAAAATTAATTTCAACAATAACAGCAATGATTTTCATATGCCAGTTTATCAATTCAAATGCTAAACTTAGACCATCTGTCTAGCTTGCATAGTCACGTGGCAAGCTACTTATGTTTCAAGGGTTAAGCCAGACAGAAAATTTCCAATGGATGGGAACAGACAAATCATGTCTAGAATTTCCACTGTCACAGATAAGGGTGTCATAGTAATCCTTCCACAATTTCTCCATGTTCTTCCAGAAGAAAAACATGGTTCTTACTCAGCTGAATAGGCATACTAAGTGAGAGAGCAAGCTTCATGTCAGTTCAAGCCCTCCTACTGGTGACATTAAAAAAACATCTTTCACCAGAATCTCAACCCAGCCCCCACTGATCCAGCGTCCTGCAGAGGAAGACCTGACATAGGCCTCATTTTCACCCTTCAGTACTGCAGCCATTAATTCAAGCACCTTAAAAGCACCTCTGTAGTTACAGCAACTCCAGTCTGGCCTTACTCAAATATTTTAATAGAAAGAATAATTTCGATTATAGTCTTCTCAAAGTCTTTCAAGGGTTCACAACCAATACCTGCATAGGAAGGCACATAACAAATTTGGGCTTTATTTTTATCAAAAGTGTATATTCCTGACCACAATCTGGAATGTTTAAACGCTTCTTGTACAAAAGTAAAGGAGAAAATTCTTATGGGTGTTTAAAATGAGATCTTGAGAAATAAATATAAACTATCACATCCCCTCCACTCCACCCAGCAATGCTTTTAGGCACTTAGACACACTGTCTCTTCTTAAAATAAATTATAGGCTCCTTATGGGCATCCCTGCTTCTTTATATGGTGCTACCAGTTGCCTACAGAACAATATATCTGCTGCAAATGGTTGCTTGACTGCTAAAAGATTAAGTCTGCAAAAGAATATTGGCTACTAAATGTGAGAAAGATTCTGGGTAAGAAGCATCCTCATAATTCCCAGCAGCATCCAGCAGTCTAACCTTGATCCCCAAGTAACCTGCACAGCCTCCTTTCTAGGGTCCTAGAGAGGAGAAAACCTGCTTGACCCCCTCCCATCTGCTAATTAGCAGCAGCATGGCCTGAGGAAACTAACGCTGAGGATGACCAAGAGCTTCAAGGATGAAGGGTAACGAGGAGTCTTCCTCCCCTAGTCACGCCACACAAAAGGGGAAGAGGCTGGTATCGGGAGATACCGAATGAAGCGCATCTCTCCCCTCCTCCCCTGCGGCTGCCCACTGGGTGGTACTGGTTCTCAGGGTGTTTGGGGACGAGGCAAGGGGAGACAGGACGGAGAGATGAGATAGACCCTCCTGTGTGAAGCTGGCTGAGAATCAGAGTGGAAGTGTGACTGTTCAATGTCAAGACGGTCAACATCATCCATGACAAGCGCCCACATGCCATTCCCCGACTCTCCCCCTCTTCAGACGAGGGCTTTGGTAATCATCTGGCAACAATTCCAGTCAAGGGATAAAGGGGCAGCTAAGAGTGTCCTGTAACTACATCACCCACTGACTGTCATCATCACTTCTTGTCTTTACTGTGTTCTAAGTAGAGGTGCCTTAGGCACAGGGCTTTAAAGCCGCTTGGATAAGCCTTGCAAGGATCCAGACTGGCAAAACAAACCTTTCAGTCTGAAGCATGTGCCTGTGACACAGGATTAATGCCACATGGATGATGTACTGCTTTCTGTGGGGAGGGCGTGGGTCAAACAAAGGCAAGGGATTTTGTTTTTGTTATACAGCCGAAATACTCAGCACTCATTTCTGCCAGGGACTGAAACCATCTCTTCCAGCTTTAGACACAAAGAGCTCTGTGGAACTGGTCACAGGGCCGTCTGTGAGACAAGGAGACTCTTGTTTTTATAGACCCCCCTTTCTACTTGCTTCAGATCAGTAAGTGGGTTTCTGCTGGCACAGGGGAAAATGAAATGAAGCACAGAGGTATAAATTATAGCCTGACACAGGAAGGAGAATTCCTGTTTAGGTTCAGTCCATGGCCAACTCCCTGCACCCTGGGATAACCGCCCGGAGGTACATGTAAGTGTTACAGCGCCATGTCCCGGGCAGCAGCTGGGAATGGCGAGCCGTGGAGCCCCAGCCCCGGCACACCTCGGAGATCTCCTGAAGATGCCACTCTGCTTCCCGCTTCTGAGCTCTGGCACACGGCTCTTCTCTAGGCCAAAATGCCCGTTCTCTTCAGGCCACCTGGAGGATCCCACTCACCCTTCCAAATGCGGCCTGGATGCGGCTTCCTTGGGGCATCTTTCAGTATCTTCATCCGCCCACTCCGTTTCACAAGCTAATCACTCCTTCCGCGGAGCTCCTTCTCTGTTCCCTGTCACATTTTCTGATTCCATCTAACATACTGCACGGTAATTATATGTTTACACATCTGGCTTCTAGAGCAGATGGTGAGACCTTGGGGCCAAAGTTAATATACGGCTTTATTACATTCCCAGTACCCAGCATGTTGCCTCTTAGTAGCTACTTAATATACCTTTTCGATAAGTTTTCGATTCACAACAGCATTTGTTTTTTCCCCTCATAAAATTCTAGCATTGTTCCTTTAACCATTTCGTTAAAAAGCTTCTCTCCCTTACTCTTTTCTTGAGTCACTTATATGCAAACAGTCCTTTTAACATAATTCATATTAAAAACAAAAGGAACACTGGCTGGTGTGGTTCAAGCTCGAAACCCAGGCATGTGTCCTGACAGAATCGAACCAGTGACCTCTTGGTGCATGGGATGACGCTCAGTCCACTGAGCCACACCAGCTGGCTGGGCTATCTTTTTCTTCTCTGCAACCTCTTCGGTCTGGAACAATCTGCCCTTTTTCAGTAGGATCCTCTCAGTGTGGCAGAGAGAGCTCACATAGGGGTTAATCCGCCCATGAGCTCTAAGTTCTGCGCTGCATCTTGGGAGCTTTGTTCACCTGGATGTGCTCAATGACCAGAGAATCTACATCTAAACCCTTAAGTTCAACATTGCTCTCTGCCTTTTTAAGCATGTGCAGCAAAAGTTCAGCACTCTTTTTGGGCCACCAACCCTTCGTCCATCCCCCACTCTTTGACTTGGACACACCTACCAACTCCACCATTGTAACGATGGAATGACATACATTGTTTCTGTAAAGCGACATCCTTCAGGTACTTGGTGGCTTTTCTGATATGCATACCCTTGACGGCCTGGGCAGTTTCATGAGAGTTCTTAAACTCAACACAAAGATTTTAACCTCTTGATTTGCATAATTCTGTACGGTTTTCTGGGTCAAGTGAATAGGGAACCATTTTCAGAGGTCACCTTAGCCCTCTTATGGGAAGAGCCAATTTTGAGTCTTTCATCTTAGATATCATGACAAGAAATTATGTTGATCATGTTGCATTTGCATCCTCAGGGTCAGGGAAAATGATAATAGCAATCTATAAAGCTAATGAAATTGTATATAATCACAGACTACTTAGTACAATAATGATTTAGGAGCCCGGGCTGTCGCAAAAGACCTCAACTCCAATGACCTTGTCCTGACCTTTATTTTAATTGTAATGCCAAGCACTTAATGGTTTAGCCTAGCTGCTAACAGGGATTCTCAGTATACAGTCTGGAAATATCTGAGCTAACATGGCAATGAGCTTAGAAGAGATATCAATGTTTTCAGTGCTCTTAACCACATGGAAAGAGCCTCCTAGGAATTTTTTCAAAGTTATATGTTAATGGAAAACAGTGCATTAAAGCAAATAGAAGAATTCAGGCCAGCATATCTGAGCAAAGATTTAAAGGGAAAACAACAGCCTGGCTATAGCTTTAGTATAAATCACTAGATGTGACAAAAATAACTGAAGGTATAAAATAATTATATAACTCTTTTCATTAAGTGTAGTTAATATACAAAAACAAAATCTTTAAAAGATAAATCCATTCAATTTAAAAACACTTTTGGATGTATACACCTAACAACTGTACATAAGAGTTTATTCTAGAGTTCCTCTCTCTTTGTTTAATCAAAGGGTGTGAGTCAAATCCAGCTTTGTTTTGCTCAACACAGAACAGCATTCAGAATAACTTAAGAGCCAGCCCCACTGATGTCACCTCTTCCTTAACAACCACCTCAGAATCAGATAAAACAGCAGATCCACCCTTCCTTTGTAGAGTCGGGTGCTGAAGGCCACTCAACTTTTACTCAGTCATAGCACAGTCAGGTAGCAAAATAATTATAATTCCAGCTGTTAACTTACCTTGAAGAACTTCCATGGGGAGGACAGTCCAGGCATTTTCCAGATAGGAAATATAAATATAGCGAGCCGTATTGCAAGCCAGGCCAATATACAGAACCCTGAAGAAAGCAAAAGGCAATAAGTCGGGGCCCCAGTATAAGATACAAAACATGCAGATATTACTTATATTTTCCCCTGCCCAAACCATCCATCTTCCAGCAGACAGTGTTCCAAACTTAGAAGGGGGAAGTGAGGAACTCCTAGGAATAAGATTGTTTCTAACATATCTGCCCTCAGCCTTTCAAAATGTTTGTTAATATAAAGGCGAACATCACCCTTCCTGAAGCTTAATTAGTAGCAGAGAGGATGCTTTTTTTTAAAGATAGGCTGGGCACACTGCCATCTGTAATGACATTGCTGGCTTCCTTCCAGGTGGCTGCAGGGTAAACATGCCTGGGAGCGTAGCTACTCCGCCACGACAGGATGAAAATGAGAACATATGAATATGAACATGGCCTCGCTGGCAATTCCCAAGGCACCAAGCACTTTCTCAAGGAGACTCTCAAGGTCATCAAAACTATCATCCAATGATGAATAATAAACTTTGGAGATCAAACACTTTTTCCTATTAGTTCAATTGTTACATCTTTATTTTTATTTTTTTAAGCATGAAATCATATGCCACTTTCCTCCCTCATAATCACCACTACCAAAACTATTAGTAAAAACAAAATAAATAAAGGCCCAAAGTGGTGTATCCAAGCATAAGGTTACAAGTTCTCATTCTGAACTGGATGGGTTGGGTTGGAAGCAAATGGTGGCTGCTTCTCTGTACAAAACACCACCTGATGGCAGAGATTTCTCTTTCTTGGTTGTTTTCCATTTTCTGTTAATCTTCCTAGCCTTAATGCTTTTCTCGTTTTCTAAATTCAGGTGGATGACGTAAAAGAAATAAACCAATATAACAATCACTGGTATTTTCCTAACCTGCTTGCTCAACTATACTTTTATATTAAAATCATTCCTATAAATATTGTCCTTTTTTCAAACACTGGATCAAGGAAAGAAAATGCTTGGAGGCATCTGGCTGGTATTAACTACAGATACGGAACAGAAGGATGGGAGAAAGACAAAAAAGTTTGAGGGGGTGGGAATGGGATAGGAAATGGGTATTACGAAGGAAAGGTCTGGGTTATCATAGTCTGTGGACACTACATTCTTTGTACTTGTATGTTTGGGGTGGGGGGGAGTATATGTTTCAATCCTCTTTGATAAAAAATTTGTTGACCAAACTTGCTATAGATCCATCAACCAGGGTCCCTCTGCTAGGAAACAAACAAAAAGGACCACAGGAAATTAAATGCAAAATACACTACACAAACATACAAGTTACACAAACCTTTGTCTCCTTTTTAAATTCTAAACCAGCTCTGTTGGTAAACTTGACTTAGCCTAACCCAGGGGTCAGCAAACATTTTCTATAAAGGGCCACACAGTAAATGGGCTCTGTAGGGCTCTTGCAACTACTCAACTCTGCTATTATAGTGTGAAAACAACCACGGACAATGTCAATGAATGAGCATGAATGGCTGTGCTCTAATAAAACTGAATTATAAACAATGAAATTTAAATTTCATGTGTCACAAAATATTATTATTATTGTGACTTTTTTCAACCACTTGAAAGTGTAGAAACCATCCTTTGTTCGGGGCCATACAAACATGGGCAGCAGGCCAGATGTGGCCATGGGGTACAGCTTGTCAACCCCTGGCCTATATCATTAGTTTTTGGGGGGTTTTTAATCTATTTTTATTTCAGAGAGAGGAAGGGAGAGGGAGAGAGTTGGAACATCAATGATGAGAGAGCTGTCATTGATCAGCTGCTTCCTGCACACCTCCGACTGGGGATAGAGCCCTGACTGGGAATCAAGCCACGATCTCTTGGATCATAGGTCGATGCTCAACCGCTGAGCCATGCCCAGCCAGGCAGTTCTTTTAAATTTTGGCTGTACATCAGATTTACTCAGGTAACTGTTAAAAACTACAGATGTTGAGGCCCACACTACTTTGGTAGCCTCATTATTATTATTGTTGTTATTATTATTTTAAAGGAGAGTAACCAAGTACCCTTTTGTTTTCTGAAAAAATGTTTATTCCAGAATTCTAAAAGAGAGAGGAGCACTAGCATTCCTTCCTCACCAGCCATTCAGGGGAAGCGAGTGACTTCAAGAAATCAGCAAAGGTAAGATTATGGGCAGAAAGGAAGGCAGTATTTTGATCTATGAAAAGGGAAACATGTTGACATATTTATTGAATAGTCACTGAAAAGTATCTCAGTAACCTAAGAATTTCTTTACTATCCAAGTGGAATATTTAAACTGCCACATTATTCACTATTCTGGGGCGAATTGTGTGTCTCCCCCTACCCCCCAAATACATTCATATGTTGAAGTCCCAAGTCATAAACCCAACACCTCAGAGTCTAAGTGTATTTGGAGATAGGGCCTTTAAGATGTAATTATGGTAAAATGATGTCATATGGGTGGGCACTAATCTAATATGACTGGTGTCCTGGTAAGAAGAGGAGATTAAGACACAGGCACACAGGGAAGACCAGGTGAAGACACTGACGCCAGGGAGATGGGTCCTCAGAAGAAATGAACCCTGTTAACACTCTGACCTTGGGATTTTAGCCTCCAGAAGAACTATGAGGAAATACATTTTTTTTAAAGCCATCAAATCCATGGTGCTTTGGGATAGCAGCCCTAGCAAATACATGTACTCCCATGAAATTAAGGATTTGCTAATAAACTAGAATTTTAATGTGATTTACTAGATCACCTTCTGGACAATCACATTCTTCTATTGTTTTTTTCTCCAATCAAATTCTTTATGTTGCATATAGAACACATGTTTAGGGTACTAGAATTTTCCTGGCCACTGTGAAGTTTAGAAATATAGACGAACAATCTGAAAAGGCTTCTCAGGGAGGTACAGATACTGAACAACTGTAATGAAAAAGCTCAGAAACAGCACCGGCACTTTCCTATCTCCTTCCTACAACAGGAAGTCAGCAAGTATAAAGGTGGGCAAGAAATAGAGGCACTTTTGGAACAGGTGGCCGGCGTATGTGAACTCTTCTATAAAGAGGAACACGGGCAGGGGTCAAATGATTCAGCAGGAGACACTGCCCAGGGAAAACCCAAATCGCTGGTCACACACCTTGATCCTCTATTTGAACAAAGCCTAACAGGAAGAGAAAAGGTTTATGAGATTCTAATATCTTATACAACCACAACTCAGAGGACACAACAGCAGGACAAACTGACTGGTGGTAATCTTATAATAAAAGTGGAACTTCTTTTTCTAGCCAGACAGTATTTAAATATAGATAAAATTTATTGTGAGTCATTCTGCAGTTCCCAACAGAGTTTAGGTAGTAATGACACCCTACTTTTCTAACTGTAACCATCTATAATAAGGCTCAATGCTCCAAGAACCTCTCTAAACCACAATGAACATGAATTTTGCTCAACAAGCATTTACTGAGATACTGCTATGTACCATATACACTATGCTGGATTCGGGGGGGGGGGAAATGAGAGAAATCCTCTTTACCTTCAAGGAACTTACAGTCTAGTGGTGAGACAGATATGAAAGCAAGTAAGTTGAAAGATATGCACAAAGTGCTGTGGGAGCTCAGAGGAGAGGCTGTTAGCTGTTCCTGGGGATTCAGGGACCTCTGGGTTAGAAACAGTTGGATCAAAAAAACAGAAAGAGCATGACAGGCGGAGGGAACAATGGGAACAAAGGTTGACTGTAAAACCCCAAGAGTTTGCAGAGAGGGAGGGTGTCTGAAAGATATAAAAATGAAAGACATAAAAAGGATCAAAGTCTAAGGATTTATGAAAAGATGAGTGAAGCCCTAGCCAGTATGGCTCTGTGGTTAGAGCATCAGCCCGAGGACTGAAGGGTCCTGGGTTCGATTCCAGCCAAAGGCACAAACCTCGATTGCAGGCTCGATTCCCGGCCGGGATCAGGGCTTGTGCAGGAGGCAACCAATCAATGTGTCTCTCTCACATCAATGTTTCCCTCCCTCCCTCCCTCCCT